GCTGTGGAGGTCTGCAGACTGCTGTCTAGTGTACAGCTTCTAGGGGTGTGAGGTACACATCTCACTTTACGTGTACTGTTACCTCACCCACAGATGTGTGGACTTTCTCCATCTGACTTTAGCCTGGCCACTTCAGCTCATAAAACTGGGTTTTCTCTTTATTGCAGGAATTGGGTCTTACCTCAGAGGAAGGTGAGAGACATCTGCCATGGGCTTTCATAAGGGGCTACTGATCGCTCACACCATTTGTCGGAGGACACTAATGTGTTGATAGGTGTGTCTTCCAGGTTCCTGCGAGGAGGGCGACGAGGCATCCTTTCCCGTTCCTCCTGCCTAGCATCCGATCATAGTGCTCAACCAGGGTTAGTTCTTTGTTTTCCCTTCCCGTTGTGTAAGAAGGGACTTGATCTGGGAAACTGATGAGGAGGCTTTTGTTTTGTTTTGTTTTTGAAACAGGGTTTCTCTGTGTTTCTCGAGCTGTCCTGGAACTCACTCTGTAAATCAGGGCGGGCTCAAACTCACAGAGATCTGCCTGCCTCTGCCTCCCGAGTGCTGGGACTGAAGGTGTGCGCCACCACCGCCCGGCTACTGATTGGAGTTGATGGCAAGTTTTAACAATACAGTCTAACTCAACCTTAAAGACAAACGGGTTCAGGGCTGGTGACTGGTTCAGTGGTTAAGAACACTTGCTGCTTTGTAGATTCAACCAGGGTGAATGGTTGATTGATTGATGTGTGTGTGTGTGTGTGTGTGTGTATACTTACATACATACACACGTTTATATTTATTTACATACACACATTTATAATTATTCATTTATTTTTATGTGTGTCAGTGTTTTGCCTACTAGTATGTCTGTGTGAGGGTGTGAGAAATCCTGGAACTTGAGTTACAGACAGTTGTGAGCTACCATGTGGGTTCTGGGAATTGAACCTGAACCCTCTGGAAGAACAGCCAGTGTTCTTACCTCTCAGCCATCTCTCCAGCCCTGATGATCAGGGTTGAAATCCCATCACCCATATGGTGGCTAAAACAGTCTGTAACTCCAGTTTTTTGTTTTTTGTTTTGTTTTGTTTTTTTAAAGCATGCTTTGATCCTTTGGTGTTTTTCTGTGGGGTGAGGAGGAGCGGCCCCCGACATACCATGACATACATATAGGATGTCAGAGGACAGCCTGAAGGAGTCGGTTCTTCCTGTCACTGTAGGGCTCTGGGGCTCAGACTCAGCTCTTTGGACACAGAGGGGAGGTGTACACCTTTCCCCACAGAGCCATCTCGCTGGGCCCTGGCATGCTCTTACTCTTCTAGGGGTCCCTTCTTTACAGTGTCGGGTACCCAGCTTCTGCCTTTTGGAGTGAGTCATCACCAGTAACGTGGAGTAATGTTCTTCTCTTTACCTCTTTACATTGATACTCTGAGCTGTATCCAATTAATCCAGCTCTCAGCGACTCTTTATATTAAAAATTAAAATATAATTACATTATTCTCCTCTTTTCCCCCCACCACCTTGAATATTCCCCAATACTCCCAAGTTGATGGACTGTTTTTCTTTGACTGTGTGTGTATGTATGTGTGTACACGCATACTATATACACACACACACACATATACATATATAGTGTATAACTATATAAACACAACTAAATGCTCAGTCCATTTAGTATATAGCCATTTAGTATTATAAAACCAATTAGGGGACTCATCCCTGAGAGAGGCTAATTTTTCCTCTCTCAACAGTCGTTAGTTGCCTGAAGTTCTTTTCTGGGGTGGGAGTCTATGGGAGCTCCACCTTTGAGTTAGCACATGTATTGATTTTCCACTGTTCTGGTCTTGTTTCGGCGGCTGTACTGTTTAGGTGTCATGTATGTTCTCTGTCATTTCTAGGAGATGAGACCTCACAGCAGACTCCATGGCTCTGACTCTTATAGTCCACCCACCCCTTCTTCTGCAGCGTCCCTGGGCTTTGGGTGCAAGAGTTATGTTGTAGATGTAGCCTTTGGGATTAGTCTCCCAACAGTCCATTGGTGTCTCTGATATCACAGTCGTGGTGTTCTCTAATGGTCTCTGTTTGCTGTAAATTGAAGTTTCTCCGGTAAGAGGTGAGAGCTACACTTATATGTACAGATATAGGAGTAAGGTTTAGCATGCAGTTAGGAATCACGCTGGTCTAGTAAGTGGAGGTAAAGGTTCTCTCTAGATCCATGAGCTCAGCAGCCCAGGCAGTTCGCTAGGTTTCCGTACTGGAGGTAGGAGGTAGCCTTTTGATGGACGTGTGAAGACCCTGGGAGAGACTGGAAGATGTGGAGGTGAACCCGTGGCAGTCTGCTGGGGAGCTGTGCACAGCATGGAGTCAGCAGACAGTAAGCTAACTTTAGCAGCCTGTTCACAGGTTACGGTGAAGATAACGGGGTGTGGTGTGGTGGGCTGTGGTGTGGGCTGTCTTGTGCATGTGTTAGTGAGCTCTTGGTGCCAGTAACAGAAAGCTAAATCTATGGGAGGTTCTCTGCGTTGACTTAACAAGCAGCCCAGGACTCCTAACCTTAGACATGAGAGTGATACTCCTGCCCAGTGCTCCTGACAGGCCCTCAGGAGTTCCAGGCCAGTGTTTCTCATCTTGGCGCAGTTGACACGTGATGCTGGATGGTGTTTGGAGAATGTCCCTCCTGTGTGTCCCAGGGTATTCAGGTGCCTCTGCTCGGTGCTCTTCAGCCACCAGCAGCACCATCCACTCCGCTCCTGTCTGACAATCAGAATGTCCAAGTCCTTCCAGATGTCCCCTGGAAGTCATTCCACCTCCCAGATTTGGAGCCGTAGCCTTATCCACCATTCGCCTTCAGGAACTGGGGAAGAGGAGGAAGGGCAGCTGGCTTCCTTGGGGCTTGGAGGTATTACATGCAGATAGGTACTGGGGAATGCTGGGCAGTTGGCCACATTCGCCAGCTCTCACACGTAATGTGGGACCTACTGTCGCAGTGCTTGTGTCCCCCCAGCGCTCACTGACTATAACCCCCAAAGTGGTTGTAGGAGGAAGTTACAGCGCCATGGAGTAGAACCTTCCCTCTTGGGACTAGTGCCCTCTTAAAAAAGAGAAGAGCTGGTGTGGTGGTTCACACGTGTGATCTTCGTGTGATCTTCGCTTGGGAGGCGGAAGCAGGGAGGTCAGAAGTTCAAGGCTATCCTAGGCTAAGTAGTGAGAGGCCAGCCTGGGCCACAGTCAGAAACTGGGTGGAATTCTGCAATAATCAGGTAGTGAGTGTTAGGGCAGGTAGTAACCCACATCTGGAGCACTTACTGCAGGCCAGGTGCCTTCCAAAGTCCTTCCTGTGTTCTCTGAAACCTTTAAAGATTTAGTTCTTTATTATGTATATAGTGTGTCACCTGCATATGTGCCTGCACACCAGAAGAGGGCACCAGATCTCATGGTAGATGGTTGTAAGCCACTGTGTGGTTGCTGGGAATTGAACTCACACCTATAAAGAACAGCCAGTGCTCTTAATCTCTAAGCCATCTCTCCAGCCTCTCGTTAAAGCCTTTTAAAAGGGTTTTTAAAAATTTTCGTTCATGTATGTCCATATGTGTCTGAGTATGTGCTGCACATGTTTTGGTGCCCAATGAGGCCAGAAGGGAATAAGATATGAGCCTCCTAATCTGGGTGCTGGGAACAGATCCTGTGGAACAGCAGTAGGTGCTCTTAAATGCTAAGCATCTCTCTGGCTCCCCCATTTTTAAAAAGGTGTTTATTGTTAACTATGTTAATAATGATCCCGTGGCATATATGTATATAATGTATTTTGTTAATAATGGACCCTGTGACATATATGTATATAGTGTATTTTGATCATATTCATGTGAATTTCATAACCCTCTCTTGACCTCTGTCACTCCGACTGGTCCCTCCCGCTTCTCAAATTGTCTCCCTTCTTTTGTATGTTTTTTTTTTCCTTTTTCATTCGAGCCCTACGTGTTTAACTGGGTTACTTACCGGAGTGTGGGTGAGGGGTTATTCACAGGTATGTAGACAATGTGGGTGTGGCCACGGCACTGAAGGAAATGTCTAGGCAACAGTTAACTGACTGTGGGTATTCAGGGAGGGGTAGACCTTGTGAGCCCTTCCCCTGCTACTGTAAACTGTCTATAAGTCCTTATGGAGGCTCGGGGTCTCTTGTCCCTTCCTGCCTCCAAGAGAGAATGTCGATGGGCCAAGACCTGCCGGTAACCACAGCTGCTGGAGTTGGGGAGTGCAGCTGGCATGTGCTCCGCAGCAACTCCGCCCCTTTCTCTGGCTCCTTTTTTCCTTCCTTCCTTCCTTCCTTCCTTCCTTCCTTCCTTCCTTCCTTCCTTCCTTCCTTCCTTCTTTCTTTTTTGGTTTTTCGAGACAGGGTTTCTTTATGTTAGGGTTCTAGCTGTCCTGGAACTATCTTGTAGACCAGGCTGGCCTTGAACTCATGGAGATCCAACTGCCTCCCAAGTGCTGGGATTAAAGGCATGCGCCACCACCACCTGGCCCTATATTCTTTCTTCCCTCTCCAATTCCCTATACCTTGAGCATTGGAGGGAGTAACATAGATGTCCCGCTTAGAACTGAGTATTCAAAAACTACTTATAAACCAGGTGTTGGTGACACACACCTTTAATCTCAGCACTCTCTTTAAAGCCAGGCATTGGTGGCCATGCCTTTAATCCCAGCACTCAGGAGGCAGAGGCAGGTAGGTTTCTGAGTTCAAGGCCAGCCTGGCCTACAGAGTGAGTTCCAGGACAGCCAGAACTACACAGAGAAATCCTGTCTCAAAATATAAACAACGGAGTGGTTCATATACCCAGTGAAACTGTTGGAGAAACCTAATTTTTAGTTTGCAAGTGGTTATCAGTGGAATACAGCTTCTGGGTTAGGGATGAAGGCATGCACTCACTGCTTTCAGCCGTGGGACCCCACGTAGGCCCAGTGCATACTGCCTCCGTCTCTGAGTTCATGTGTGTGTCAGGTCTGTGTGTCTGGAAGGCACTGTTTCCTTGGTGCCCTCCATCGCCTCTGGCTCTTACAGTCTTTTTGCCTCTTCTGCAAGATTCCCTGAGCCCTGAGGGGAGGGATTTGAAGGAAATGTCCTGTTTCTCACTGCACATTGTTCAGTTGGAGGCCGCAGGTCTCTCTTGCTCTGTCTACTGTATGGAAGCTTCTGTGATGGCTGAGCAAGGCACCGGTCTGTGAAGCTAGCAGATGCCATTACGAGTCATTTTATCGCTCGATTCTTTAAAAGAACAGCAGTATTTGATTTCCCCTAGATCCCTGGCCTGTCTGGTCCCAGGTTCCTGGCCACCTGAGCAGTCAGGGTTGCTTCCATCTCGTGAAATGGGCCTTCAATCCAATCAGACAGTGGTTGGCTACTCACTATTGCACCGGGGCATCTGGTAGGCAGACTATCGTCGTAGATTGAAGGGTTTCTAGCTGGGTGGGTGTTTATCTTTCTCCTTTGGCCTTGTGCAGAGTGTATTCCAGGCCGGTGAACACCCATCCTGGGGTGAAGCTCCAGGTAGGCACCAGTGGAACTTCTCTGTCTGTGCTCAGTGAGTTGTCTAGGGCCAGTTTGTGGAGAGCAGCCAGTAGCCTTGGCAATAGCCTGGATTGTTTGGGGGTTCCCATGGGGCCCTGTTAGTCAACATCCTGATTGGTGGTGTCCCATTCCTGGTACTGAAAGCTTCATTTGGTGACAAGAGATGTTCAGTAGGGGCTCTGTCTCTCCAGTTACTTGGACAGACAGACACACACACACACACATACACATGCAAAGGCACGGAACCTCCTACTATATTTGGTTTCCATTCGTCCCCTAGAAGAGATGATTCTAATCAGCCTTGCTTCAGCACTGATCACCACCTCACAGGCACCGATGGCTTGTCTTCTCTTCGGTCAAAAAGGCAAGCAGGCAAGCTTTCGTTGTACAGAGTGGGAAATCAAAGCCCATGAGGCTGCTAAGAAGGGGACGAGCAGGTAGTGGTCGATATCCATTTGGCTTCAGGCCAGTTCTCTCGCCCACATATGAGGCCATAGTCCGGACTGCTGACCTGTACCCTCCCATTACTGACTGTTCCTTTCTGCAGGCGCTGGTGACTCGAACCCAGGTGGCCCCATGGAGGCCCCGGCAACCCAGCCGGTGAAGCAGGAGACCTTGTCCGTAGAGGCCCTGACTCTCGACTCCCCATGGCACCGCTTCCGCCACTTCCACCTGGGTGATGCAGCAGGGCCACGAGAGGCCCTGGGGCTGCTCCGGGCCCTGTGTCGGGACTGGCTCCAGCCAGAAGTGCACACCAAGGAGCAGATGCTGGAGCTGCTGGTGCTGGAGCAGTTCCTGAGCGCCCTCCCCGCAGACACCCAGGCCTGGGTGTGCAGCCGCCGGCCCCAGAGTGGAGAGGAGGCCGTCGCGCTGCTGGAGGAGCTCTGGGTGAGCAGGAGGCTGCGGTGGCCGTGGCTGTGGGAGGGGTGACACTGAATTGTGCTTCTCTGCACGCGACTACACCTCACAAAAAGTCCCCAGACATGAAGGTGTGGTCCACGGCTGGGACTGGGGTGGCGTTCCAGAAGTACAGGGGTGCTTCTCCAGTGTCATCTGTACGTTGGGGGTCCCTAGTTTCTCCTTCAAGTAATAGTTGAGGGAAGGCCTAGCTGAAGGCTGCCTTGCCCAGGGTCCGCATAAATGCAAAGCAAGGACATCAGCTAAAGGAAGCCTCGGAGCCAGCACAGGTGGTGGAGTGAGGGTGTCTCTAGAAGATTTCAAGCCATCTGACAGGACGGGACCAACTGGTCTTAGCTACAAAGTGGGGAGCTGTGAGCAGGGAGCCTTCAGTCTGGTTCATACCTGTAAAAGGGGCTGAGGCAGGAAAGTCATGGAGGGCAGTCTGTAGCCAGACCCTGTCTCGTTAAAAAGAAACAAACCTCAAAATAGAGCAAGAAGCAGGGAGTGCCTTCAGTTGGGAAGCCTCACCTCACTGTCCAGAGTTTTTACTAGGTCCCAAGCTTGGCAGCATGGTGGCTTGCCACGTGACTGATCTGTCATCAGCCCTTCCAGAGCTTGGCTAATCTTGCGAGGTCCAAACCCTCACCTCAGATCTGTTAATTTTTTTTGTCTGGTCTGGGACCCAGGCAGACACCCTCTTCCTAGGTGACATTTGAAGGCTTGCATATGACTTCCCAGAAGCCAGGACAACAGCCAGCCTTCTCTGGGGCCATTAAAAATCTTTTCCATGACAAGTATATGTATTTGTGTGGTGGTGGCGGTGGGTGGGGGGCCATGATCACACCACCTTGAGTGTGGAGGTCAAGGGGCAACGGCTAGTGTTGGCTCTCTCCTTCCACATGTGGGACTCAGGACTCTGTATCGGGCTTGACGACAGACACCTCTCCCTGCTGAGCCATTTCAATGGCCCACCCTGTTTTTATTACCTATATCTAGCAGAATTTAGAAAAAAAAGTCCTTCAAAGATCCATGTGTCAATACACACCTGTAATCTCATTGTTGGGAATTAAGGTAGGAAGATTTTGCTTTGAGACCAGCCTGGGCTACAGAGGAAGACTATGTCTGCAAATGAACAACAACAATCTCTTACTGGCTAGGTGGTGGGGTCCTCTATTCAGGGAAGTCACTGGGCTCTATGTTCTTTCTTTCGTGTTGGTTTTGAGACAGGGTTTCTCTGTGTAGCCTACACTGTCCTGGAACTCACTCTGTAGACCAGGCCGGCCTCGAACTTACAGAGATCCATGGGCTCTCTGTTCTAAAGACTCTGCTCAGCTCCTTGTGCTCTGGGGGCTCGAGGGACATAGGGAAACCTGGTTCCCTTAATGGTACTTGCATCACCTGTCCCATCGGTGTGGTAAAGTACCCTGCCGAAAGCAACTTAAGGGAAAGCTGTGGGCTCACAGTTCAAGGATGCAGGCTGTCATGGAGAGGTCATGGCATTCGGAGCTAGAGGCAGTTAGCTCATCAGAGACCCAGGCTGAAGTAGAGAGCAATGAACACTATTGTTCAGCTCTTTTTTTTATTGTTGTTTGTTTTTCAAGACAAGGTTTCTCTGAGTAGTCCTGGCTGTCCTGGAACTTGCTGTGTAAACCAGGCTGGCCTTGAACTCAGAGATCCACCTGCCTCCCTTCTGAGGATTAGGATCACCACACCTAGCTCTTGACTCTCTTCTAGATTCAGTCGGGGGCCCTGCCCATGGAATGGCCAGTCACAGTTAGGGTGAGTCTTCCTCCTCACAGGCATGCACAGAGAGAGGCTCCTTCCTAGGTGATGCTGGTCCTGTCGAGGTGACAGTATTAACCACCACAGTGCACTTGTTGCTCTTCAGTGGTTGGCCTGGTCCAGTCTGCATTGTAGACTCAGCCCCACTCAGGGAGGAAGGAGCCTTCATGTGTCCCTGGTGGAGCAGCACCTGGTGTTAGTAGGTGCTGAGTAAATGCTTGTTTAGGCTGTGACAGTGCCCAGCTTGAAGTTTCATAGCCGAAGGCCAGGTGTATTCTGGTCGATCGTTTCTCTGGAGACAGCGTGACATGCTCCTTAAGACAGAATGACTTGATCGTTTCTCTGGAGACAGCCTGACATGCTCCTTAAGACAGAATGACTTGATCGTTTCTCTAGAGACAGCCTGACGTGCTCCATAAGACAGAATGATTTGCCTGTAGTCTTCCAGCCTCTGGTCTCAGAACCCAGGAAGCCATGGGACTATGTGAGATCCTGGGAGCAGGGTGTCTGCAGACCCAAGAAGGGCTGGTGGCTGGGCTGGGAACCTGGGGAGAGGCGCCTCCAGCCAGTTCCTGTGATTAACAAACAGGAAACAGACACCAGCTTGTCTCAGATCAGAATTGAGGGTAGTCTTCGAGCCCCAGGGGCAGCAAGGAGCATGGAAAATCAGCACAAATGCTGTGTGTCTGTGACAAGAGGAAAAATTAGTTTAAAAAAAGAGAGAAATAATCCAAGGCATGTTAATTCCTAGAACCCCAAAGTTAACCTTTGAAAAGCATCAGCGATGGCCAGTTGGTTTCACACGCCTTTAATCCCGGCACTCAGGAGGCAAAGGCAGGTGGACCTCTGTGAGTTCGAGACTAGCTTTGTCTGCAAAGTGAGTTCTAGGATAGCTAGGGCTATATAGAGAAACCCTGTCTCAAAAACAGAGCAAAGCAACAACAGAAAAAAAAAAAAGTCCCAAAGCGTCAGAGAGTAGCATAAGCCTTCTGCAGCAAGTTGTCCAGGAACCAAAGGAGAAACAGCAGATAGGCACCAGAAGCAGAACCACAGCGGTGCGGGCGTCAGCAGACGAGAGCGCTGCTGCTGGAACAGCTTGTACAAGTTTGCAACCTAGAGGGAGTGGACATTTCGGGGCGGGTGTTAGAATTCAAATTGCCAAAGTAGTCTCATGAAGAAGCAACAGATTGAACCTGAAAACCAGAGGGCAGAGGGCTGAAAACAGTGACCAACGACCTCACACTCAAAAGGCACCAGGCCCCAACAGCCATATGTGTTGCTAAATCTCTAGGAAAGGAGCTTTCTTCTGTTTTACAGAAGTGTGAAATACATGCTTAGAGTATGAGGTGGGGTGGCACCCAGCTCATTTTGCTAGACTGCCAACCCCCTGGCCTCATCACCCCACAGTCTAACCACGCTGTACAAGGACAGCCTAAAAAAGGCGAGCCCAGGCCTGTCTAAAGGAAAATAGATTCAAAAATACCAAGTAGAATATTGTCCACTTGAGTCCAGCCAAGGGTTGATAAAAACCATGTGTTCTAGCCAGGTGGGCTTTACACAGATGCAAAGAATGTTCTGTTGGGAAATTTACCAACGACTGCAAAGACTGAGGGCAGAATCTATCATTCAAGGCCGAGTCCAGCCTGGAGTGGAGCCCAGTGGGCCGGGGACTCGGCAAAGACCAGCATCAGCACAGAAGCAAACAGCATAGGACTTCGTGTCGCACACATTTAACCCCAGCGCTCAGGAGGCCCAGGAAGGTGGATCCAGACCTAGTTACAGGACATCCGGGGCTGTTTCACAGAGAAACCCTGTCTCAATCGAAAATAAAGTTCCCTGACCGTCATATGTAAACACACACACACACACACACACACACACACACACACGGTGGAGAGAAGGCTCTCCCATTAAGAGCTCTTTCTGTCCCTGCAAAGGGCTGGAGTTTGGTTCCCAAGGCCTATGCCAGGTGACTCATAACTTCTGTAACTTCAGCTCCAGAGGAGCAGATACCGTCTTCTGCCTCCGCGTGCATGTGTGCCTGTGTACCCCACCTCAGCATACTAGCTATAAATCTTAAACAAAAAGCAGGCAGGGCTGGAGATATGGCTTAGAGATTAAGAGCACTGACTGCTCTTCCGGAGGTCCCAAGTTCAATTCCCAGCACCCACATGGTGTCTCACAACCATCTAGAATGAGAACTGATGCCCTCCTCTGATGTATAGGTTTTCATGCATACAGAACACTGTATATATAATAAAGTATTAAAAAAAAAGCAGGCAGTAGGATTTGATAACTGTGTGAGGTGTGGAGGGAGGGAGGGAGGCAAAAACAGGCTATTGTAATCTCTCAGTTTGGCATATGCTCTCTCTCATTTCAGGGCCCAGCAACCTCCCCAGATCGATCCTCAGCAATGAGGGTACCTCGGGATATGACAGAAGCCTCGGGGGTCAGTGTTGGAAAGGAAGAAAGTGGGGTGACTCCCTTAGGTGAGCAACTGACCTTTTCCCACTTCTTTCCTGATGACCCAATATCAGGGGTCCCTTGTGTTGCAGGCTAGGGCAGGAACTCACCTGGCCATTGTTACTTGCTCAGTGAGTGCCCCTGCCTTTGGGGAGCCCATGGAAGGTGGGGTCAGACTCTTACTGTCTGCCAGGTGCTGCTTTGCTGGTGCATGGAACCCACAGCAGCTCCTAACAGATGCGGTCTCTGTAGTTAGGGTCTCCCTGTGTAGCCCAGGCTAGCACAGTCTCTGCTCAGCCTCCTCAGTGCTGAGATTACCGGCATGCCAGCAGCATGCCCCAGTGAGAACCGGCTGCAGTGTATTTAGGTCCAGGGTTCCAAAAGGACTCACCCAGGGGTGTGTGCTGCTAAACCACGATTGGGCCCAGGCAGCCTGCTTCAGATCCTGTGCCCTCCCCACCCCAGATCAGCTCCACTTTTCCCTCCCCGCTGCTGTGTCAGGGTTCTGTATCATGTGCCCAGCCCTTGAGCTGGCTGCCGAGTCTATTCCATCTCTGTAGGGTGAGGTGACTCCATGTATCACTAGACAGTGGACCAGAAGCCAGATATCCCAAAAGCTACCGGGGCACTGCTGATTGTGGGGGCGGAACAACAAGGGGAGACCAATGGGCATTTCAGACAGAAGAGGATGCTCAGTTCATGATGTAAAACTACCAAAACCAAGGTTGTGGGATTCCTAGGGCAGATAGGACACCTGGACAGAGCGGTCATATAGTTTATCTCTTACCTTCCTGTACCTATTTGTTCTAATCAGACCCCCTCAGCCTTGCCCAGTGAAGTTAGCACACCCATCTGTGTACCCTTCCCTCCCCACCACCGGGTTTCTTTGTTCCTAAATCAGTGTGTACCCTCACCCATGTGTATTGGTTCTGTCCCCCAGTGCTCCTTCTCCCTCTTGCCCACTTGCTGTTTGTATTTGTCTTGTTACTCCCTACTCGGGTCCCTATCTAGTCAGGTACCCCTTGATCTAGTATTCATCAGGGAGTGTCAAGCTCCTTGCTAGAAGACACAGGGACGGGAAACCTGCCCTTCATGCCACCTCCGTGTCCCCAACTGGCTGCCTATCCTGACCCTGCTGCTTCTCCCCTGCCCCACCCCCACCCCCGCAGGAACCAGGGCCTCCGAGACAGAGGTGCCTGCAACTGAGAACGCAGTGGCTACGCGCCCTTACAAGCAGGAGCCGGGCAGCCCTCCACCAACTCCGCTGGCACCCGTCCCCATCCTCCCTGCTTTCCTGGCGGCCCCTGGCACCGTGTCGTGCCCCGAATGCGGCAAGTCTCCCCTGAAGCCGGCTCACCTGTTGCGCCACCGGCAGAGCCACTCAGGCGAGAAGCCGCACGCGTGCCCTGAGTGCGGCAAGGCTTTCCGGCGCAAGGAGCACCTGCGACGCCACCGTGGCACCCACCCTGGCAGCCCGGGGCCCGCGCTGCGTCCCCTGCCAGCGCGTGAGAAGCCGCACGCTTGTTGCGAGTGCGGCAAGACCTTCTACTGGCGCGAGCACCTGGTGCGCCACCGTAAGACGCACTCTGGTGCTCGGCCCTTCGCCTGCTGGGAGTGTGGCAAGGGCTTCGGGCGGCGTGAGCACGTGCTCCGCCACCAGCGCATCCATGGCCGGGCTGCCGCAGCGCAGGGGACTGCAGCACCAGGTCCGGAGGGTGGCGGTGCCTTCCCACCCTGGGCCCTGGGGTAGCTGCAGTTCCAAACACTTGCTGAAGCAGCGTCATCCCCTTAGCACCCCACCCACCTCCCCGCCACCTCTTCCCTGCCCAAGTGGTGCTTTCCCTTTTCAGGCCCCGCCTCCACTCCTTCCTTCCTTCTGGAGCGTTCAGCTTTCACCTGCCCCTACAAAAGATCCTTCTCTCTCCCCCTCCTTTACTTCTCTTTTTATGGAGGGGAGACCTGTCCCAGGACACCCTTCACGCGGGAATAGGAGCTCAGGGAAGAAGGAAACCCCCTCCTTCTCCCGCCTCCTGAGGAAGGCAACCTTCAGCCCCAGGACAGAGTCCGGGCCAAAGGCAAGAGGCAGCAATAGTTTCTGAGGAGCAGGCCCAAACTAGGATCTGGTTCTCTGCACAGCTCAAAGGCATGAGGTGGGCAGAGGTACCTGAGAAGCTTGTTACAGATGGCAGGCCACCAGCATCAGTGAGAGTAATAAAGTGACGGACTCAGTGTGTACAGGAGTCTGGGACTCTCCTGTGTTGTGGGAGGTTGAGCATCTGAGGCACAGGGGACTTGGGTGGGGCTCCACCTAACGTTCGCATTGCAGAAGCAAGTAACAGGGTCATGTACCAGACCTGCTCCTGTCCAGCTTGTCCTGGCTGCGTAACTTCAGGCAGGTTTGGCTCCTCTGCAAGAGTTCAATTTATATTTTGTGTCTTTTGAGACAAGGTTTCTCTATAGCTCTGGCTGTCCTGGCCTCCTGCGTGCTGGGACTAAAGGCCTGTGCCACCATGCTGAGAAGTTCCAATTTCTTAAATTGTGCTTCAATATCACCCACCACTTGGCAATATCATGCCAAGTTATCAAGTTAGGTGACTCCATGTCATTGAGGGATCCCCAGACAACCAGTGCCAGCAGTCAGGAACAGTGCGGTTTGCCAAGAAGGCTCCATTCTGGCCTTGGAAAGGTGAAGGCTGTCCCTTGTCCTCAGTCTGCCCTGTGACAGTGCAGCAGTCTAGACCTGACTATCCAGGAAGGAGACCCACGTGGGAGGAAGTGCGATGGCCCGCGGCCGCCCTGCTGGGGTCTTTGGGCACCCGATTTGAGCCCCAGGACTCCACTTCCACACCATCTCTGTCTAACAGCTGCACAATGTGGGGGTACGGTGGAAGGTCCCCAGTGCTTTGAGATGGTCTTGCCGGAGCAGCTCAGGCTAATTTTGAATTTACTGTGTAGCCAAAGATGACCATGAGTTTCTGATTCTCTTGTCTCTGCCTCCCTAGTTTTGGGAACATGGGTGTGCATGATGATGCCTGGGGTTAAGTGATTACCACCATGCCCAGGTTTTATTCTTTATGGGGTTTTTGTTGTTGTTGTTTTGGGTTTTTTTGTTTGTTTCTTTTTTGGTTTTTTTTTTGTTGTTGTTGTTTTTTTTTGAGACAGAGTCTCTATGTAGTCCTGACTGTCCAGAAAAACTTACCATGTAGACCAGGCTGACCTCAAACTCACAGAGCTCCGCCTGCCTCCGCCTCCTGAGTGCTGGGATTAAAGGTATGGGCCACTATGCCTAGTCCTATTTATTTATTCATTTATTTATTTGCTTGTTTTTCAAGACAGGGTTTCTCTGTGTAGCTTTGATGCCTGTCCAGGAACTAGCCTTATTTATTCTTAATGGACACGTGGGACCTTCCCTGAAAGATGTGCCCAAAGAAATGGTCAAAGCAGGATGCGTTTATACTTTTTAGAAAAAGAATAATCAATGTATAAATAAATGAAAGAATGTGGGTGGGGCCAGGTTCCTGGAAGAAACTGGGGGTTCACTAGGAAATATGCTTCCGAGGGTAATGTGGTTGGAAACCAGGGCTGGCTGGCTGTCTTCATTAGAGCAGGCGTTCATTTGAAGCAATGACGCCCTCTAGTGGTTAAGAACTCTTTCTTGACCTGAGAAGGTGTCTGGGAGATCGATAGGAAAGAAGGGTGGACAGCCCTTTCTGCAAAGAGAATTTCACCAGCGTTCCAAGGACCTAGCTAAGAACACAGCCTCTCCTTCACACCTTCAGCAGTCCTAACAGTGACGTCCCATCACCACCCCACCCCTGTCAATCACGTTGCAGCTGCCTCTAGCTTCCAGTTCTTGTGACTGTGGGTAGGGCACTTGTAATTGGATTGTCCAACATTTTACAGCCACTCTGTTGCAGAGACATTCACAACGGTGTAGATGCAGATGGCAGGTGGGCGCCACCAACACCTTTGGCGAAGCTGCCAAGTCCCAGTGCCCATCCTAACATGGCCAGTGAAGCCTCGTTCCAAAACCTACACCAATGCATTGCTGCAGAATGTGGGAAAGGCCCCGGGAGGGCCCACACTCATGTAGTGTCTTTCATGGCAGCACTGTGGTGAGATCTTAGTTTTGCCATGCAGTGGCACAGGCTGAAGTTGCGTGATCAGCTGCAGACTGTTGGGTGCGTACACGGAGCATGGAAATATGGGAAGGTGGGGGTGTCGTGCAGGCCCAGGGAGTTTCATTTGCAACAACAGGAACCACGTGGTGGAAACCCTGTGCTGGGCTGGGAAACCAGTAGGTAAGAGCACTTGCTCTGTAAACACGGGACTCGGGTTCAAATCATCAGCACCTGTAGCGTCACTCGGTGAAACAGAATTGAGAACACGTACTCCTACAGCCACGGATTTTTATTTTTATTTTTATTTTTGACCAAGAAGCCAAAAGTACACACTGGAGAAAAGACAGCATCTTAAACAAATGGTGGTCACACATGATGTCGGCATGTAGAATGAACATAGATCCGTATCTGTTACCCTACACAGATGGGTCAAGAACCTCAACATAAGACCAGCTACACTGGATCTTGTCAAAGAGAAAGGGAATATAGGCTTGAACTCATTGTCCCAGGAACAGAACACCGATAGGTCAGGCACTGAGACTAACAGTTAACATATGGGGCCTCATGAAGCTGAGAGTTTCTGTAAGGCAAAGGGCACCATCATTTGAGCAAGTGACAGAATGAGAAATGGTGGCCAGCTGTACGTGGTCTTTTTTGTTTTTCAAGACGGTTTCTCTGTAGCTTTGGAACCTATCATGGAACTCTCTGTAGAGCAGGCTGGCCTCAAACTCGGAGAGACCCACCTGCCTCTGCCTCCCGAGTGCTGGGATTAAAGGTGTGCACCACCAGCGCCCCGCCCAGCTACAGGTCTTACAGAGATTTTTGTAGCTAGAATATATTAAAAAAACTAAAGAAACAAAACATCACGAAAACAACCCAGTTTTAAAAGTGAGGAAAGGAAATGAACAGAGTTCTCCAAAGATTAAACACAAATGGCCAAGAAACATTTTAAAATGTTCAGCATCCTTTCCTATCAGTGAAATGCATATTAAAACTACGTTGACGTTATTTTAGCCCAGTCATACTGGCTATGATTTAAAAAAAAAAAAAGATTACCAGACCTTGATGACACATCTTTTAATCCCAGCACCTGGGAGGCAGAGACAGGCGGATCTCTGAGTTTGAGGTCAGTCTGGGCTACAGAGCAAGTTCTAGGGCAGTCAGGGCTACACAGAGAAACTTTCTCAAAAAAACAGAACCAAACAAATAAATAGATGACAAATTCTGGTTGTGGGGGGAAGGCGAACGTGTACAAACCGGTGCAGCCACCATAGAAATCATCGTGGTTTCTCAAGGGATGGAGGGAAGGATGGAGGGAGAGAAACGGAAAATATCTGTAGCACACGATCCAGCCACACTGCTCTGTTCATTTACCCAGAAGACGGTACTGCCATACTATAGAGACACGTGCTCATCCGTGTTCATTGCTGCCCTGTTCATAGTAGCCAGCAGGTGGAAACTGCCTGGACGCCCATCAATCAATGAACGGATAGTGGAGATTTACATTTACACGAGGGACTGTTATTCAGTGTCGGAAAAACAAAACTGTGAAATCCACAGGTAAATGGATGGAGCCGAAACCAATCATTTTGCATGAAGTAAACCAGACACAGAAAGGCAAACACTGTACATTTTCTCTCGTTTGTGTACGTTAGCTTTAAGCTTTCACATTTGGCCAGGCGGTGGTGGTGCTCCTTTAATCCCAGCACTCGGGAGGCGGAGGCAGGCAGATCTTTGTGAGTTCGAGGTCAGCCTGGTCTACAAGAGCTAGTTCCAGGACAGGCCCCAAAGCTACAGAGAAATCCCGTCTCAACAAACAAACAAACAAACAAAACCAAAAAAAGTTTTCACATTTATCTATTTCATTTGGACACCCCCTGAGGTCAGAAAGTAGCAAGGTGTGGCGGTAGGGGCTTTCAAGGGAGGGGAGCTAGAAAGTCGTGATAGAAACACCTCTTTTAGAAGTGGAGCCCCATAGGAAGTTGACTTTTATCAGTGAGGCATGCGAGTGGGTAACTTGAGGGGCAGAGATGGAGGGGCTGTGAAGGAGAAACTTAGCTCCTCAGGTCGCCACCCAGGCTTTCTGTCACAGTGCCGGCTCAGACATGGCCTGTATCTACCTGAGTTTGGCTCCCCCTTCTGGCGACAGAGAGACACAACAGCTGCCCCGGGTTTTGGAGAGTCAGAGAAAAAGAGGCAATGAGAGGAGGTGGGGAGGAGTGGAGAACCCTGGGAAGGAATGTGGAAATGTGGAGACTGGAGAAATGGTTCAGGGCCTAAGAGTGCCTGCTGCTCTTGTAGAGGACCCAAGATCAGTTCCCAGCACCAATATCTGGTGGCTTGTGACTGCTTGTAACTCCAGGTCTAGGGGTTCTGACACTCTTTTCTGGCTTTTGTGGGCACTTGTATATATGTGACACCTCTCTCTCTCTCTCTCTCTCTCTCTCTCTCTCTCTCTCTCTCACACACACACACACACACACACACACACACACACAAAAACACACATACACACACACATAAATAAAATGAAAATGAAATTTTGCTGAGTGGCGCACACCTTTAATCCCAGTTCTTGGGAGGCAGTGACAGGTAGATCTCTGTGAGTTCAAGGCCAGCCTGGTCTACAGAGTGGATTCCAGGACAGCTAAGGCTACACAGAGAAACCCTGTCTCAAAAAAAAAAACAAAAATAATAGAGAAAGAAAGGCTAGCGGTGAGGTCTTTGAGTCTCTCTTCTCTCCCCCTCCCTCTCTCCCTGCTGTCTCCAGGTAACCTCTTCTAGGCTTCTGTCCCCTCTCCTGAGGACATCACTGCTCCTCCTCCCTTCTTGTTCCCAGAAAAGCCATTCACACTCTCTTGTCACTTTCTCCTTCCTAAGTGTCTTCCTGTCCTCCCCCAGATCTGAGGTCACCCAGAGGAAACCTCAGGACAAGGGCCTTGCTGTCTCCCCAGCTCCTTTCTTTCCTGCCTCCCACGACTCTGCCTTGCCCAGCGGGAACAAGGATGGACAGGGCGGGGCAGGGGAGGGGTTCCTAAAGGAGCACTTTGTGGGTGGGGTGATCTGAAGGCGGATACTGAGAGGCCTCCTAGCAGAGAGGAAGAAAAGGTCCAGGAGACCTGGACTCTCCACCATTTCTCCCGGAGCAAGGGCCAGTGGCAGGGTTGAACCCTCTCCTAAGATTCACCCTCTCAGGAGCGGCTGCTGGCTGGGGCAAAGAGGGACAGAAACGGAGGGACAGAATAAAAAAGTGGAAGGAGTTAGAGCAGACACAATGGCCTCCACCAGTAGCTCATCCTACAGCTGTTTATCGAGATCCAGGAACTATTTTTTTAAATTATTTACTGGCTGGTGACATAGCTCAAGGTTGACAACCTGAGTGCAATACCCAGGACTCTCTTGATAGGACTAAACTCCTACAAGTTGTCCTTCTGCCTCCACACATATGCTTTGGCATGTGTCTACCATAAATAAATAGTCATTTTAGCACATTTATGTGTATGCATGTGTGTGTGTGCGTGCAAGCGCATGGGTGAGTGTACCTGTATGCACACACAAAGGCACAGAGGGCATTGGGCGCCCTTTTTTTACCATCCTCCACCTATTCCTATGAAGCAGTGTCTCTCCCTGAACCTGGACCTCGTATTTTCTTGGTTAGGCTGGAAGCCAGCAGGCCCTGGTGACCTACCTGTTTCTGTCTGCACCCTCCCTGCACCTTAAAATTGGACTGGAGTTGCAGGGAGGTGCATGATATCTGGCTGCTACTTGGATGCTGAAGTCGCAGGGAGGTGCATGCTATCTGGCTTCTGCATGGATGCTGGAGTTGCAGGGAGGTGCATGATATCTGGCTGCTACATGGATGCTGGATTCACAGGGAGGTGCATGATATCTGGCTGCTACACGCATACTAGAACTCAGATTCCGGTCCTCATGATTGTCCTACAAGCAGTCTTAACTGCCGAGCCATCTCCCCAGTCCCTTGTTTTGTTTCTGTTTGGATCAGGGTCTCACTGAGTCCAGGAGCTCATGATCCTCAGGCCTCAGCCCCTAAAGTGCTGCATCGCAGGTGTGAGTCTTCCAGCTATGCCTCAGGAGCCATTTCAGTATCACTTTTAGCCACAGCAGATGTCCTGTGCCGTGTGAGAGGCCGAGCTAGAGAGATGCTGCACCGGGTGGGGACGAGGTTTGTGGGAAAGGAAACCACTGAGACAGAAAGACACACACACACACCACACACACACACACACACAGCCACATGTATGCACGTGTGTGTGCAAGAGGGAAGGAGGACAGGGTGGGGAGACCTTGAATAAACGTGCACAGAAGTACAGGCCAAACTGGGTGTGGTAACAGCTATCTATTAACTAGGAGATGAAGGCAGGGGAATCAAGGGTTCAAGGTTATCCTCCACTAAGACTGGAGTTGAGGCCAGCCTGGGTTCCTGATGCCTTGTGTCAAAACAGAGACAGAAAAGAAACACCAGGGGGGTTGAGATGGCTCAGGAGGTAGAGGTCAAGCCTGAGGGACCCACGTGGTTGAAGGAGGAAACCAGTACTCACAAGTTGTGCTGTGGTGAGTACTGCACATCCTTGCTGTGGCATGGCCCACGAATGGAAAATACACAGGTGAGAGGGAGGATAAAGAGGCAGCGGGGGGAAGTCAGCATCCTCCAACCGAGGCTCTGCCAGGGGCAGCTGAGGCACAGCAATGTTCTCTGCCACAAAGCACCTTTGTCTGACCTCACAGGCCAGCTAATAAACACTCAAGTGGATGAGTCCTCTCTCCACCTCCATCCTTACCCCGCCCACCCTTGTCTCTCTTCCTAACCTCTTCTCTTCCAACTTCTCATTCTCCTCAGAAGCATAAAAGCCAGGACCCCAAGAGCTGCTGAGTGTGGCCGACGGCACCCAGGTTTGAGCCGGGCCGGAGGGGAGGTTGGAGGCTGGAGGGACTGAGGGCTGTTGTGCTAAAAAGCGTCTTGGGGAATGACAAGAACATGAGAGGATGGAGCAGCAGAGAGCTGGGGCATTGGTGATGGGTCAGTAGGAAGGGGCAGCAGAGGCAGAAGCAGAGTGTGGATGGTGGGGAGGAAAGACTGGGTATGGATGAGTTCTGTGGATGGGTGAAAGTGAGTCTGAGATAGTGGGTAAGAGACGGGCACGGGGTGGGAGGAGTTACTGTGTCCCTTTCTATCACAGTATTTATTATTTATTTTTTCAAGATTTATTTATTATGTATACAATGTTCTGCCCGCATGTGTCCCTGCAGGCCAGACATCGACACCAGATCTTATTACAGGTGGTTGTGAGCCACCATGTGGTTGCTGGGAATTGAACTCAGGACCTTTGGAGGAACAGTCAGTGCTCTTAACCCTATCACATTATTTATTTTGTGTATGTGTGTGCTTGCCTATGTGCCCTGGCACGATTGTAGAGTTCAGAAGACAACTTGTTGGAATCATTTCTCTTCCCTACACCTTGGAGCCCCTAGGAACTGAGCTCAGGCCGTTAGGCTCGGCAGCAAGCTCCTCTCCCTGCCCAGCCTGCTTGCTGAGCTCCACTGTCGAGACAGGGCCTCGCGTAGTCCAGGCTGGCCTGAAACTGGCCGTGTAGAAGAGAATGACCTTTGCCTGGCCGTGGTATGGCACACACCTTTAATCCCAGCACTTGGGAGGCAGAGGCAGGCAGATGGATCTCACTGAGTTTGAGGCCAGCCTGGTCTACAGAGGGAGTTCCAGAATAGCTGGGATAGACAGAATAGCTGGCTTGAAAAAAACAAAATAAATAAATAAATAAATAAAAATTAAATAAGTAAAAATTAAACACACACACACACACACACACCCCCCCCCCCACGGGGGGGGGGGAATGACCTTGAATTTCTAATCCTCCTCCCTTCACCTCTGGAGTGTTGAGATTATGGGTGTGTACCATCACATCTGGCTCTGGCGACCGCTATTCTATTCTTTTCCCGTCTCATTTTTCTAACAGTTAGCTTTCTATACCACAGCTTTTAAATCAGTAGATTCAAATAATATAAAAGTTACCAGGGAAGGCCAGTTGGCTGGCTGAGCTGGTAGAGGCACTGGAAGTTAACCCTAATGATGTGAGTTCAATTCTTAGGACATACAAGGTCGGGGAGAGAACTGAAATTTGTCCTCTGACTTCTACACGCAGACTGCACATGGAGGATTTTCTTTCCCTTGTGCTAGGCGACATTGCCTAGAGGCAAGCTAAAGTATACAGGAAGGGCCTGGAGAGTTGGCTTCAAGGTAAGGAGCCGCTGCTGCTCTTACAGAGGACCTGGGCTTGGTTTCCAGCACCCTCATCAGATGGCTCACAATCGACTGGCTCATAATCGACTGGCTCATAATCGATTATAATTCCGAATCTAGGGGCTCTGGCGCCTGTTTCTAGGGCAGATGCACATAGGTTCTGTGCAAACAGCAGATTTGGAGACCGGTGGGGAAAGGTCCCATGAGCACTGAAAACAGTTGTATATACTTTTTGTACATTTTCCATTACCGACTCTCTCGTTTCTCCCTCCCCTCTACTCTTTCCTGTTTGTTTTTGAGTGCTGCAGGGCAGGTGTGGAGGTCAGAGGGCAATCCGAGGTTTGATTCTCACCCTTCAGCTTGTTGGATGCAAGGTCTCTCTCTCTCTTTAAAAACATTTATTTATTTATTTATTGAGTGTACATAGGGGTTTGCCTGCATATATGTCTGGTGAAGGTGTCAGATCCCCTAGAAGTGGAGTTATAGGCAGTTGTGAGCTACCACGTGGGTGCTGGGAATTGAGCCTGGAGCCTTTGGAAGAGCAGTCAGTGCTCTTAGCCTCTGAGCCATCTCTCCGGCCTCCGGCTGTAGAGTCTCTTGTTTATAGCTGTGGCATTGTGGATACCGGAGGAGCTGACTGGAGGAGCTGACTGTGAGCTCCGGGCGCTTTCCTCATTCCGCCCTCCATTTCAGCGTAAGACAACTGGGGTTACAGAAGCACATTTCTGCACCCGACTTTTCCATGAGTTCTGGGGATCCGAACGCCAATCCTCAGTCTTTCTAGGCAAGCGCTTTGTCTGTCCACTGAGCCATCTCTCCATCATGTGTGCTCACTTCCTCTCCGTCTCATTCCCTTTTCAAGATTTATTTCATCTGATCTTACATGCATATGCACCATGTGTGTTCAGGTGCCCGTGGAGATCAGAAGAAGGTATTAGATTCCTTAGAACCGGAGTTAAAGAGGTGGTAAGCCACCTGGTGTAGGTACTGGGACTGAATACAGGCTC